AATTTAGATAGAAAAAAACATCATAACAAACATTTAGAAATGCTCAGAAAAGTTTACAGTGCTACACTCTTGATTTGCGTTCAAAGGCTGCTCAAAGAATTCTGTGTCTATATCCAATATTCCTTGTCTTAAAGGAAATAAAAATTTGTATTTTTCTGAAATGTTTCTCTATTAATCAAAAACTTCCAAAGTGCCTGAAAATAGCATTTATTCATTATGAACTAGGAAAGCCTTGGAAGACACAAAAAGCACGTTCCGCTAGGAATCCAGCATGATAGATGTTGAACGGGTCACCCCACTCAGCATTGAAAAAAACAGTCATTCAGCCTGAAAATCTTCCCCTAGCAGCTTATTATTGCATCACCTAAACAAATAAAAATGTTCATTTCCTTCAATAAACTGTAACACTCTCTCTCTTAGCCAGTTATCCCAGTCTTCCTTCTTAAATGCCATCATTTTTGAGCTCTTACATTGACTCTTGTGACTGTCAGTCTGTCTTACACAGCTGTCCTGCCACCTGTACAATACCTGAGCAAGAAGCTAAGAATATGAACGCACAGGACAACGGAACTCCTTGCAGAGCTAGAGGACAAGCAGGGAAGGGGAAGGGCACAACGGTAAGCGTGACTTTGGTGAACGTTTTCAAAAATGCATACTAGAGCCTTTACTAAAAGCCCAGCAGTCCTACTGGAATCCCAAATCTTTTGATGGTCAAATCAGCAGGCAAAGGAGCAGTTACAGCAAGCGTGGGCTACAAAGACATCAGCAGGGTTAACAGGTGCCTCACTGACCCCCCTCTCTCCTCTAAGGAATTCAAGGAATCCCCTTCACGTGGAGAACTCAAGATTACCACTAAACCACTCAGCCACCAGTTCCAAGAGAACACACAGAGCTTTATCCAGAGCTGTCTCTAATGAAGGGAACTGTCTTACATGCTCCATATAATCTTTAAAGAAACCTTGGCAGGCCTACCATTCCTAGCTACCAAAGAATTATCAAGATTAACCAACACGATCTACAAGCTCCTTGCCACCCAAAAAGCCCATTTCATCTACAATACAAAACACTTCTCACTATTCGATGTTATACGACATAAATTACTTTCACGTCAACAACTTTTTAGTCATTGTCAGTGTCACCAGCCCACACACTATCATCCCCTTTCAGGGTCCCATCCTCGTAATAAGGTCTTGCGTATTAACAAGACCGAAACTAAGTGTACCAGACAAGTGACCGTAAACTAATCCTTTTTGGCCTCACTCTAGACTGCTTTTCTTTTAAAAACCAACATGGTTTCACTGTGATGGCATTTCATAAGCTACTTTTAAATAATTGTGCTACCAAGCCATTTTGTACTTGCATTATACTGATGAAACTTTTATCATTTGGACCAGATGCCTCGACTCCCTGTTGACTTTCATCATGAGATTAACAATCATCATTTCTCTATCAGACTCTCTCAGCAGCACACACATTCTAGTCCCACCTTCACAGAAAGTCAACATCAAAAACGACAATCTACTGTAACAGAGAAAAAACCCACAGACCAGCACACCTATATCCACCGAGTCATCAGCTATCTGAAAGACTTCAGAAAAGGTGTCCTTTATAGCTAGGCCCCCAAGCACCATCATACTTCTGAGGAGTACAAAATTCACTTTAATAATCTAAAAAGGACCTTTATCCAGCAATTATTTAAAGAGGACATTCCCTCAGCAAAGACAACCCTCCTAAGGAACAGAATATGATTTTGAAAGAGCTGACACAAGTGTCAGCCAGCATTTGTACTTAAAAACAAAATCATCTCTCCCCCAATCATACATGCATTGTCACATACTGTCACACTTAAGCACATGTAGAAAAAAGACACTGAACAGCTACCAACTAAAAGGTTTTGATTTTTGCTCAACAGAAATCATGACGTGAACCACTCCTTAGATGCTTTTAGACTTATTCTCAGAAGTAAACCCTGTTGGTTTGATATGCAACAACTGGATCTAGGCCATGCTGGAAGAGCAAGTCTAAAAATTAGTGATGCAGTCTCTCTGTCCTGAAACTGAAGGGAGACTAACAAAATGCTTCCCAGAAGCAAACTCAGAAATAGATTGATAACAACACTGTATGCCACAAACAAGGCAATAAGCGCAGTTATCGCTGTGGTGCAGTAACTATAGTCTCCTTCCCCACCATCAGCATGGGGGAGCCGGAAGTATCCCATGAAACTTGTACCTGACAGTAGCTTCTCAAGAAGCAGGTTGCTTCACCTTTGAACTGCCTCATGCTTCTCTGGTTACATGATTCTCAACTGATATGCAGACGACTTCACATGAATGAGTTACCTCTGTAAATCTGCAGTGCACAATAATGGTGATGCTGCAAAAGTTTACTTTAAACAACATATAGACGTGAACAGTGCACAGTCACAAAAATTGACAGGTGTATAAGACATTTCACAGTGCAAAATCCCTGATGTGTATCAGAACCTGAGGGGTGCCCAGAACCAATCAGTTCATCCTCACTAGATTTCCTTTAAAAAGTGAGACCTCACTCATCTACCAAGCGTGTTGTTGTTTCATCAGATATGGCAGTTGGGTCCAGTCCTTTCAGAATTTGTTCATTCACACGTGACTTTTCTCAAGTACAGAGAGTTAACAATATTGCCTTCGTATCCTGTTGCCTAATTTCTCCTTAAGAAATCCATTAACCACACACAACAACAATTACAGGTTATTGCTGTAGTGGAGTCAATGGCCAGGGATTTGAACATAAGAATATGTAGGCAAATACAACACAATTGGGACTTTGAGTATGAGAATATGTCGACAAATACTATGTTTTCTTCCCCCCTAAAAGTACAAAAGCTTCTTGCTTAATCACCTCTGTAAGCTCTATAAGCATCCAATTACTTAAAGCTCTTCAAAACACAGGCTACACAGGAAAGACAACTTTCTAATTATTACTCTGTCTCCTATTTTAAAGGGACATTTTTTGCTTTAACCTTGGGGAACAGTTCTAACTAACCATATCTTTATCATCTTATAAGGATGAATACATTGCTCAGCCATTTCCTAGACAATCTTCATAGTGAGAGAGGCTAAATTAATGCAAACATTTAATTTTCATATTCAGTATTTGCATGACAAGAATGTTCATGCTGGGTTCATCTCCACCCTACTGAATACCGATCATTTCTCTTAAAGGGTCATCTTGCTCCTTTTTCCTCTGTATGGATCAGCTTTGAGAATGTATACACATTATATGTCCTGACACCTTCTTCGTTTGTACCTTTTCCTTGGCTATCAGTGAGGTTGCTGAGGTCTTGCAAACCGATCAAAGCCTTGCACTGTCAACAGAAAAAGTTTCCTAAAGAAAGCTACTCTTTCAACATGATCCTACTACCAAATGTACCAAAGTTCATAGTTCAAATGAATTGAAAGCAAATATTCATGGCAGGTGCAGAGGGAGAGAAGGATAAATTGCCAACTGGTTGAGACCAGGGAAGGAAAATGAAGGTTTAAAAGGGGAACATGAGCTATACCCCACCCCCCACCCTCAAAAAAACCCACTTATCTCACCTACAGATGTAACACAAAATGTATAAAGAAAAAACATAATAAATGACCACTATCATTATACTTGGCAAAGGAAAAGAAATAGGAAGCCAGTATATTAGATGCTACACTATTTATAGTAATTCTAGCACTGAGTTTTGTATACCTGGTATCATAGAAAGCAACAAGTTATAAATGACTTCTGTATTATCCAGATTCAATCTTATTCTATGCTGGTGAATACAGGAAGTAAAACTATATACAATTCAAGATTGAGGCAGAATTTCAACTCAGTTTACAAAAGCTCATTCCAAAATTTGTTGCTTACATTACATTATATTGCATGAAAATATGACACTGATCTTAATAAGCAAAATGGCCAGAACAGTTTTTACAGTTTTGTTGTTAGATCTATGCATCTCTCCTTAAAATTTCCTCTACAAGTAAACAACCTCTTTAAAGTTCACTGCAAACATTTCTTCAATTCATTCTGAACGCTTGCCTAATATTAGTCTAATTTTCACATGTGAAAACATGCCATACTGAATTTGTCATCAAGGTTAGAAAAAACTATATCTCTAATCTCCTACATGTCTATAAAATATCATACATAGCAATATTTTTTACAAGCTAAATAAAACTACCTATACATTTTACACATACAGCTTAAAAAACTGGATTTCATATTTGTTGGTCAAACATCCTCAAATTTTACCACGTTATCAAAATTAGATCACAGAAAAAAGATGACATTAGTGCTGCCTCTCCTATAGCCTACAAACGTTCCATATTCAAGAAACTAAACAAAATTAGGACAAACATTACACTAAACAAAAAGGACTGAGAGAATTACTCCCATACTGCCAGGTTAAAGAGAAGAAGCATTTAACATGAAACAATGCCTCTCTACGTGATATATTTGATTCTGCTTAAAATTAATTTGCAGATGCTCTCTCTGATAATTTAAGGGTTTTATTCTTTTGCAAATTAAAATGAAGAACAAAAATTCCTAAAATTCATTATCTTTACCTGCACCAACAACTTTGCCTTTTTTATACTTGCAAAACATTTCTGAAGTTCTGCATTTTAAAAGTCCTTTATGGAATTGCATAAAACCTGATACTCAAATAAAACTGCAGCCACCAAGCTCTCTTAAAGCCAAGGTCACTGAGGACCTACGTTTCTACTAACCATAATGTCCCACCTTTTTTTTCAGGAGGAATAATTAATTAAATAAGAAATTACTTATAAGTAATTGCTTGATGTGATATTATATCTACATATTGATTGAGTCCAAAAACGCTGTTAGCTTACCTTTGTATTAGGCAAATTTGGAGTACATAGTTATCAGTCTAGCTGTGCTGGGACAGTCAGCCCCCATACAAGGGAAATAATTGTAATACTGACAAACCTGATATGCTCCAGGGCCGGGAGTATTCTCTTTTCGTTCCTTAAAACGCTCCACCTTGGAAATACACGGAGAAACGTGGGAAGCTGAATTCGTCACAGGATTGTATGTTCCAGGACCTACAAATTTAAAGAAGAAGAGTGATGACATTATTAACATAATAATTTTTTCAGGCCTGAAACATGTCTTCATCATCTGATTTTATATATAGACATACATCTTATTATCTTTTGGGGAAGAAACACTCTGATAATATATCTGACCTTTTTAGAAGTAACATTTGTAGTAGTACCAGAAGCAGATCATGGATTTAAATTTTCTGAAAAAGGCTATAAATGAAGTAGTATAAACTTACTCATATCATCCTGACAAAGTGGCTTAGCTTTGTTTTAGAAGAATTATCAGATGAGAGGTACTATTTCATTCTCCATTCTACGAGGTCTTTGGTCTATCTGGAAAACACATTAGCTACCAAAGAAGGGAAAAAACGTGATGACAGTAAAATAGTAGAGAACCAGGCGATATCTAGACAGAACATTAGGAAAGGTGAGCTTGCAGAATTAGTTGGTATTAATATGTTTTTTTTTTCCCTCCAGTCTATCTAGACTATCAAAAAGGGAACCTATACAGTCCTCACTACTGCAGCTCTGCCCATGTTGGTTAATCCAACCTCGCATGTCTGAGCAAGACAGCGTATTGCAACGTCATCTAATCCTACTCAAATCAGTCAAGTCTCCAAGCCTTGTCTAGGAGAATTTTCACCATTTTAGCCTCAGTTACAGTTCTCCCTGCTAACTCATACTTGTTTATTAGCACGCACAAGGCCTCAGTAAATACGTTAAAATGAACAGACAAAAATAACTGCTGTATGTCTACGTGCCTACAATCAATCTGGAAAGCACCACTGCTGAGGGAAGGAAGGTTTCCTTACTTTATATTCTGAGGGGGAAAAAAGAAATTGAAAACTTGAGTAAGATTTTTCTATTATTACAATACCATTATGGAAAAATTCTGATTCTGGATATACATATAACTTCTGTTAAGGAAAAAAAGGGGTGGGGAGAGACAAGGGGAGAGGAACAGTAGTTGGAAACAGACAGAAGATGTGTGTATCCCAAAAGACTGTTAACAAAACTGGCTCCTCAAAACCCAGACAACAAAACCATACTGACAACCATCTCAGAGTTGATGCCTGACGTCAATATAGTCGAAAAAACAAACACAAAGGCATACTAAGCAAGCATTTGACAACAGGCAAATTAAGTTAGGTACTTCACTCTCCTCCTTCAAATAGATTTTTATGAATATTTTTTAAAATTCTAGCAAATAATCCTACCGTGCAGAAAGATCTGTTTACTCAGGTATTGAGCATCATATGAACTTAATAACAAGTTAGGATGGATTTCATTTAATTAAATACAGAATTGAGCTAAAAATCCTTTCTTTCTAAAACATTAGGGTGAGATCATCCAAGAGGATATAAGAGTTAGGTGTGCATTCTCAATTTGTGCACCGGACATACTATGAAATTATGTACTTGCGTACCAAATTATGTGCTTGGTCATACCACCAGAAAATGGAATGGGGGGAAAATGCCAAAATGAGCTTTAAACGCTTTCAGAACAAAGATTTAATCAATTGTACGGATCGGACTGATAATATTCATTTCAAAACATGAGTTGTCAAAATATATCTTGGTGTCTCCACATCTGGTAGTTGAACAGTAGCCTTTTTTGCAGGAACCATTTCTTCTCATATTTAGTTTAGGGTGTGCACTGCTGTCTTCCAGCTTCTGAGAAATATTTATGATGTTTACGTGTACTTCTGCACAAACGTTGAGTCACATGCTTCTCCCCTCATTTAAAAACCATGTTACCTAACATAATTGCTAGAGACTTCATGCTACATTTTCAAGTGATTTTTTCTGCCTTTCTACTGTAGAATAGATGATATTTCTTAGAGTAATGTGATAGTTAACAGAAGACAGGAGCTTTATGATTAAATTAATTTTAACCATAAAAGTGGGAGATCATTACATATGGATCACTAGGTGGGAAATCATCCTTTTATAATTTTTACTTTGCCTGTATGAAACCGGTAATTTTACTATGGATATATTTGCTCTGTTACTCTCTGATCTCTGTTGAAGCCCAGATGTGTAACATTTGTGATCTCAGCGATCTTTCCCTGTGTATTTGTACAGCGACTAGCACAACAGACCCCTCATCAGGGCTTCTAGACACTGCTGTGATAAAAAATAATAAGCAAGTATATTTCCTAGACAGTGTCCAGGAAATGACTACATGCAGGGCTCATTTAAACAATGAAGCCTATTTGAACAGGATCAGAATCTCATTTATCTAGGAGCTGTGTGTCTAGACCATGGTTAATCGGAATGGAAAGACAAATATGTACCATCTTACTGTCAAGATCTACTTGCGTTTCTACAACATGAATAAACGTTTTGTAGCGAACCAGTTTTGAAACCAATGTGCATGTAGTTTGATACTTAACAAGTTTTCTGCTCTTAGCATTTGTAATGATGTTATTGCTAAAAAATATTCTCATAACATGTATATAGCTTTTAATACTGTAAAATAATTGCAACTAATTACTTTCTGGATTCAAATACGTTATATTTTCAACTATCCTCACAGCACTGGGTGGAAAGAAAAAAAAAGACATCATTTGACAAGGTCAAAGCTTGAGGTCATCTTTTTCTATTCCTACATTATACCTGCCTTAAAACATTAAGCATTAAAAAGGTTTCTGTACTAAAAAGTTTTTATCCAAGAACATATTCTCAATTACATAAGCTGCTGCAATTACATATGCTGCTGCTCACATGATACAGGTCAGAGACTTGCATAGCCTCTCAAGCATATCTTCTGAGCTGAATTACGCAAAAGGTATCTTCAATTTATTTACTAAAATGCCACATTTTAATCACAGGTCAGTGAAGAATAAAAACTTCTCCTTACAAATCAAATACTTATGAAAAGTATGTCTGAATCCTGATTGGTATGTAATGGGAAAAATCAAGAGCAGGTGATTCTTATAATTATGTATTTTCCAGCCCTATGGTAGCTCACTCTCTATGAAATGTCAACCAATGCTACAGGGCAAAAATAGCAGAGAACATGAGGAATGGGTAATTTAAATTGAAAATTGGTGCTGCTGGCTTCTCAGGCTGAGCATTCTGCTACATCAGAAGAGGGCTGGAAAATGATTGCTTTTGCAAATAAGAGATTTAAAATCCAAACTAGACCAGAAGCATGAAGTTGTCCTTTGCAACAGGGAAAGGATTTATCATGCATATATTATTCACTTACTGGTAGCTGCTGTTACCACATTTTAAAATAAAATAAAATACAAAAGAAAACACACAACTGTGAATGAAAGCTGGGGCATAAAAAGGCCATAATTAGAGGACATATTATAAAGTGGAAGGTGTAATTTCACATAAGAGTTTTAAGAAGTAAAATTCCTGATATGTTCTGATCTCCCCCTTAATTGCACTCTGATTCAGCCAAAATAAATGAAAAAATGAACGCATAATGGAGATAATATTTTCCCATCTAAGAAGCAGAAGACTTAACATTCTTCCAACACTTCTGTCAGTGAGGCATTAGGTAGACAAAAACCACGGAATAACAAAGACACATTACTAACAAATTGATACTATGAACAAAGCAGGAAAAAATAAACAAGGCAATATTGCATAGGGACCAATACAGAAAAGATTATACTAAACTTCACTGGGTTTGTGTGAACTGATTTCTTTCTTTGTTTACAATAACTCAATTACATTAAGAGTTTCAGAGCTATTAGCAATAGAAGTGTTACTTGAAACACCTAGCAGGTTTCTCATGTTATAAGCACGAGATAGCACCAAAATATTAACCGTAAAAGATCTCTACATTTTATCATACAGCAAAAACAAGGCACACAAATCTTTAAAAATACTTAAACCTGAAGCCTTCTGTTAGGATGCAGTTGGGGCTACATTAATCTCTTCAGCTATATAGATGATTTGTTAAAAAAACCTCATTGGGACAATAATGAACTGAATTGTTTGAGCAACAGTTCAGAAAGTAACATAGCTGACACCAAGTTCAATTTGGAGCTGAAAACAGAATTATTAAGATTCACGTTCCCAGATTACTTTTCTTTTAGAGCCGTTAACAGTAGTTTTTTTTCTCTACTTCTTAAATGAGTAAGAGCATATATAGTTGAACTAATTCATTCAGTTCTTCAATTGCTAGGCTACAGAAGGACCACCCAGGCTAGAAATGTTATTTTATTTGGAATATGACATTCTAATACAAAAAACTAACCTCTTGAGCCACATTCCCCTCAGTCAAGGCAACTCTCTCTGTAACAGAGCAGCTTTTACATCTATAAGAGCTTCTAATTGGACTCAGCTGCATGTAATTACATCAGATGGCAGCAGAAGAGCCAGAATTCATGCCAGTTAGCTACATGAAAAAAAACATAATACAGCAGAGGCACTCAGGGCACTGCCTCATGGAAGATTATTTCTCTGTCAGGAAATTACAAATATATAGATATTACATAGCAACGTGTTCTCTCAAGTAGACATTAGGAGTTTGGGCAGACTCTCCTCGGTGATTGCCTAAGTTCTTGCATCTGTACGTATGGCCGCCATCTCTTCTAATGTCTAACTTCTTAAGTTCCTGCTGCAATGCGTGCCATAAATTCTTTCTTTAATGAATCATATATAATAAGAAATGCTGTCTTTTGCTCAAGTTTCTCCTCCCCTCTTTCCTATCAGTAACACTGATCTGCATACTGAAGTCACTGCTCCTTAGATGGAGGTCAAGCACAGGGCCTAAACTCCAGCCAAGAGAGACCCCTCTGCTCTCACCCTGTCTGGGTAGGGGCCTTGGGTTCCAAGGCATTATTAGATGCTCAGATGTGAAGCCAAGGCAACTTTTTTCTATCCAGTCTGAGAAAATAAGTGAAATTTTTCTTTCCCACTTTGCACAAGGACTTTACGACAATTATTTGTATTTTTGTCACTTCAAGATTAGATTTCTGTAAGATTTTCTACTATTGGAAAGCTGAAGACGGTAAATGAGCTGTTGCGTGTTATAAAGGATAAATCTGCAATTTCTGACTATACTAGTAAGCTTTGTCAATTCAAGGTTTAAGTTTTATATGCTTATCTAATGGATCCTTTCTCAGCTTATGAAATAATGCCCTAGTTAAGGAGATCTGAGGCGTAGTAAGTACAAGCTGCTGCAAGAATAGCCTTTATCTAGAGTCTAAACTTGGCAATCCTCTAAGCATGCTGCAAAGCTCATCTTTTACCATTCTCTGTTCAGGCTGTGAAAGTGGGTATATTCCTGGCCTGTGTTTATTCCAGTTATGCTGCAATTATTAATAAACACACACTGCTCTAGATGAACATTGATATAAATAGTGGGAAAGCATAGACATAAAAA